AAATTTACATTTATACATTTAGTCGCCACTCTTCTTTTTTTTTTAATATTTAACTGTCTCAATTCAAAGTTCAACGAATAGTCATAATAGTTATATAATCTTATAACATTTAAATCCAAAAAGCTATAACCTCACCGCCAAGAAATCAGTAAGATTTCTACATTCACCAATTGTTGCACACTTAATCACAACTTGTTACCACCGTCTTTGTTATGCCTCAATATCCAATGCGATGTCCATTACGTGACTCACAAATAAAATTATTATTATTTTTTCTTTGTTTTTCGGCGCTCTGATATCAGCTGGTGCCGTCGCATTTTGAACGTCGAAAATGACGCCGGCATTGTTGACTTCGACGCTTCATTCGCTCTGTTATTCAATATCTACATTTGCTTGTCATCATCATTTAAGTATAAGTCCAGTGAAAGTTGTGATACTAGAATTTTGATTTTGGAAAAAGCAAAATTGTTTAAATTATATTTGGGTAGTGAACATACATACATATATATGTTGGTACCATAAAAGAGGCGAATAAAACAATCAGGCCGATGAAATCTTCAAACATTTCTCTGGATTGTTCCGGGGTTTTTTTTATGAATATTCTCTTTTATTTTGGCCTTTTAGAAATTTTCCTGTAATTTGTGGCTTTACTGGTATATTCACACTTTAATTTTGCTTTCATGAATTAAGGTATTTTAAATTAATTTCTGCTCCAAAATGGGCAGTGGCATTTATTTTGGACTTACAAAAAAAAAAAAAACCAATAGTGCATCTAGCTGCTATACGGCGAAGAAGTGAAACTCATTGAAAAAATTGTAGAAAGGAAGTAGTTTTAAATATACATATTTTCTAATATATTGTATTTAGTTACAATTTTTTTGTGTAAAATTTATTTCTATTCTCCACTAGCTTTTTCCTGCAGTTGTGATTTCAAATGTAACAAAGAAGGAAATAAATTATGCCCCCGAATTTAGAAAATTTCAAATAAACAGTGGCTGATTGTCTCATGGTTCCACAATTTCATAAAAAAATTTTCCACTAAATTGGCAATTCCAGCTTAAAGATTTTATCTTTCTTAGGTAATTCTATTTAACAATAGTTTGAAAATAATTTATGTATGTACATAACAACACCTTTTCTTTCATATCAATATGTATCTCATTGTTATATTTCACTTATTATTATGAAGAACAAATAAATTTAAATTTGAAATAGGTGGAAAACCTTAGCTGTATAGACGAACGATTTTCCATTTTGCAAATATTAACTTCCATAAACTGAACTTCATTTTGTAAACAGGTGGGTGAAGCCCCCTTCAAAGCTTTTTCAGCAATAAAGCTTTCGTAAACATATGTACTTCGTTTGACATCCATATTGCAATATTTGATTAAAGTAACTGATTAAATTTAGTTAAACTTTTAAAATGTTGAAATCGGTTTTAAAAACATAACACTTCTTTTTGTTTGACCCGACATCATTTTGAAATGTTTAATTTAATTTATTTGCTTAATTTTAATTTAGTTTTAAAAATATTTTCGAAGCGAAGCTTTCTCGTACCTCTTCCGATTAATATCCGTATAGTAATACTTTATTTAACTTATTAAAAAAATGCATTTGAATTTTAAATCGGGTGGCAACCCGCAAAAATTCGCAACTGCAAAAGTAAGTTTAAATTACCCTAAATAAAACACGGACTCAGGTTTTTTTTTGGAAACAAAATGTTGTGATGCGTTTCTGTTTTTTTAAAAGTCCTCGGGAGCGGTGTGTTTTTTGATGTCCCCACCAAGTTAAATAGTTTCCTCAGAGTTTTATCCCAAAATTAAATCTTTGGACGCATGCGCTTTTTAAAAATCATAAAAGAAGGTCAAACCCCAGGATGGGGGAAGGAAATAAAAACTCAATAACTATATTGACATAGTATAATTACGGCGAAAAAAAAAAACGCAATTGCCTTGCAGACAACACTTTATCACTCTTTGTGACACGCCTCAAAAAATAATTGAGTCATACAATACTGCAACTAAATTAAATACACCATTAGTATGTCTGTAGATTTCTATAGCGTATGGACAACATTATGGGACAGAAAACTAAGCAACTGTAACAGCAATGAACATTAAATCCAATCATGCGATAAATAAAGACAAGCTTCGCCAACCGCAAACCAAACGGAAAAAAAATTAATTTAAATACAGAAATGTAAAAAAATTAAAATGTGTATAAATGTTTGAAGTAGAAAAATGCATAGCTATGCGTGCATACATACATACACACATACATATGTATGTCTGAGTATATCGCATTATTTCTATAACTAAACATAGTAAATTGGTAGCAAAGAAAAGAAAATGAAGAAAGTTAAACTCAAAGCCATTGCTCGCTTCACAGCTGCCTCATTAAGTGACATTCAGTCGGATTTTTTAAATCGCGGACATAGCGCGCGCCAACTTGTGTGTGCATAATTTCGTTTGCATTCGTTTATGATTAAATATGTACGTATGTATATGTATATACCTCAACATTTTTATGGAGTATTACAGCAGACATCAGCTAGCAATGTCATGGCTACTACTCGTACATGCATACCTGTTGAAAAGTGAGAGCGACTGCGCAAGCACTGTCGCTTGTGCTGCCACAGTCGTTGCTGGCGTCGACGTTTATAGATGGCAGCAACTATTGGCGCTTTTGTGAGCGGGAAATTAGCAACTTGTTTTTTACTACAAAACGCACAGTTGTTTATGCCGGCTTGTTGAGCAGGAAGTAAAATTGCGGTGGGAGCTTTTTTTTCTAGATTTATGTGCAAGCCGCTTGGTGAAGGTGGTTACCATCGGGGCTTATTTGCTTAGCTGCATGCAGTTGTAAAAAAAGAGTAGAGAAATAATGAGTAAGTTGTAAAAAGAGCATGGAAAACTGCTCAATGCAGTAATGCCACAGTACTGAATAGCCGACGCTATTGCCAATAAGGGTAGATTCCAAAGAGCCATGAGGCTACTAATCGTATCGTGTCATCAGATTAAAGTTCTTTGTATTTAATTCATTCATGAATTAATCATATTCAACAATCATATTCAACAATTTTTATTGAGCTCGAGGCCGTTTCCTGTTTTTTTTTTAATGAAAATTTATTGTGGAAAAGCAAAAATATTTTTCTTTTTTAATTAATTAATCTTAAATTTAAATATTATTACTTTCTACTCAAGTGTATAGTAGCGTAAATATTTAGAGGTCGCTCAAAGCGCTCAAAGTTTTCCATGTGTTTAATGCAATGCGGGGACCCATTTGAGGTTTTAGGGGTCCTATGAAAAATTATTAATTATAAAAAATTGTTAAATAAATAATTGGGTATTGTTATCGGAAGTCTCTTGAAGGAAAACGAAGTTTTCCGATCGAAAAATATTGATTTTCAAGAATTCCATACCAGCCAAGGCACATTAAACAGGTAGTATCAGTAGAGTAAAAACAACATTTGCGTGTATTTTGTTGTTGCTTCTGGTATCGAAAGTGTCATTTTTTCTTCTAAATCAAAGCGTGCCATGTGAAATACAAAAAATTATAAAAAATAAAAAATTGAAATTGGAAAAAATAAAAATTGATGCAACTTTCTTTCCTAGTAAATTTGTTTGCTTCTCGAAGCATTGATCCATCCTTTGCAAGACCCAGTAATCAGCGGTCGTGCTGCCGAGTTGGGCGAACGTTCCAAAAGCTGCTATTCAATCGCTTGTTTTGTATGGAAAAAGGTTTCACATGCAAATGGATTTTAACAATTCAGAATTTTTGTGAGAAAAAATTAAAAATATTTGACATTTTCGAGACCAAATAATTAGAAAATAAATCAAATCAGCTGCTCTACTGATACTACCTGTTCAATGTACCTTGGTTCGACCCTAATTTAACTGTAATAAAAGCTTTCGATCGAAAAATGTGTTTCCTATGTTTTTTCTGAGTTACGCTTTTTTTTGGAATTTGGGCCAATGAATAGAAATAGCCATACAATCTAACCTTTTCTGAGAAAAAAAATCAACGGAAAATCCTACTATAAGGTGGAAGAAGTTAAATAAATCATATTAGAGGTACAGCCACAAAATTATTCGTACAATCAAAATAATTATTGTGAGTAATATATTTACGTACATACATATGTAAGATTTAATGTTACAAAAGGGAAACCCATTGTGAAATTACTTCATAAATGGAAACCAAGTACTTACCATTGTCAGCAAAAGCCGATTCACTGATGCGGAAGTAGGCTTGTGGGAGGCTCACAACCTAATACATATAAAGACGCCCATTGTGGGTATGTAGAGTATGCCAATAAGTTAATTGGTTCCTAAGACATATGTATGTATGTATGTATGTGTGTATCTTGATAATAAACAAAAGCTACAAACTAAACACTTGCACTTGGTGTAACTAATCTAAGTAAACAACTGACCACATTTCCATGAAGGAATATCAGCTAGTAAATGTGAAACATACAACAAAAATTTAAAAAAAAAAACTTAACCAACCAGTCACCCAACTGTAGCATTACCAAACGACATAGTTGCATAGTTGGCGTTGCAGGAACACAAATTGCCAGACATGCGCCCATATAATGGCAAGGCATACAAAAAACATAAACAAAATGTGGCTAAAATAAAGAGGAAAGTGACAAAAACAACTTATTAAAGTTTCCACTTGTTGCCTTAGCAAGTACTATTTAGCTTGTCTCTATGAAATGTATAGCTACATATGTATGTGTGTGTGGGTATGTATTGCTCATGTGAAAAAATGTTTAAAATAAATGTATAACACTTCCTTGTAGCTATTTGCCGATTGAGGAGTTGGAGACCACAACAACAAAACCTGTTGCCATAGCAGACCATGGCCGAGAGCAAGCGAGCAGGCGTCAAGTGCCGGCATTGGCAACAGCGCAAATATTTTGTTTATTAAGTCAATAAGTGATTTGGCAGAGATTTGTGCAAGAAAGTAAAAAAAAAATTAGAACTTATTGCCGTAAAACTACTACATATTTTAATTTCGTATACAAGTAATTCTTTTAAGAGAAATCCTTGAAAATGAGCGCCGGTTCCAGAGCTTCCGGTTCGGATGATGAGCCTTTGGTGCCGGAGGATTTTGATGATGATTTCTATACGAATTTAATGGATAAAGTACCTGAGGTAGAGTACCGACATAATTTTCTTATGCATTCTACTAGTGATTATGCTCTCTTATTACATATGCACATATATGACTACCTTGCAGATTACGAAAGCTTTGCGGCAGAAGGACACTCACGATAATGCGGACAATGTTCAACGTATGGTTATTTGCTCGAATCGCTACAAATCAGACTGGCATTTGGAACAACTGCGCTGCCAAGAGCTTACCGAAGAAATACAGCGCTTGAAAGAACGTTTGGATCATGTCAACAAGCTGAGTAAAATGGATCAGGCTACCATAGCGGAGTTGCGTACTGTCATCGGTGGGTGATTGATTGGTAATCGAAGTAATTAAAAAAAATGTTTTAATTATATTTGTCTCACTAGAGGGCGCTTGGTTGCAAAAGGATGCCGCACAATCACGTGAACAGCACGCTCAGGATGAAATGTTGAAGATGAGAGAAAAAATGGATACACTCGAGCAAATGGTTGAGCATTTAAGCGATAAGCGCTCTGGGTTGCAAAGGTAAGTGAGAGAGATTTTAAGTATTTTTCTTTGTACGAAACACAATATTGACTTTGAGGAATGGAATATGGAAAAGGACGGTCTTATACTTCAAAAACATAAAACTAGCGCTACGAAATACCTAAACTGGAATGTAGGGATAGGTCTAAAGGGGGGCAGGGGTTTCTAAAAATTAAGTTGGCGGTTAAGGTGTGGAGAGGTGGTTGGTGATATTGGGGTCGGGTCTGGAATGTAGCTCTCAGTGCGGTTACCAAATCCAGACCATAATTGGAACAGAGTGATGTGGGGCTCTCGTGGCAGTGGAAGCTATGTGTCTGCAATGGCGGATCCCATATTTGTCTCCGTCTTCGTATTCGTTTTCGTGTTCAAATATAAAATTAGGAAACAAAACAAAATGCAGAAATAATACACCGTTAGCAAACCAAATGCAATTGAGGCAATTAAATTTTGAAACCAAAACGCCTCATCTCAGCAAATGGTTGAAGACCACCCTACCTAAGAAGTTGGTTCAAAAACGGCCTATCTCAATATAGATACTCAATATATCGGCAGCTGAGATAGCGCGGTTTTCAACGATTTTCTGAGATAAGAGACATGGATACCGGGCATAGTGGAGTCATGAGCAGCGAAGTGGCAGATACTGTCTCCACGGGCTGCACAGCGATCAATACGTCTATGACCCTTAATTGGTGTGCAAAGGGGGCTTTCAGAGAATGAGGAAGAACGTGCGACAATGCTGGACAAATACGGACGGTAAACTACACAAAGACTGCTACAGAATTTCTTACTGGTCACTGCATGACAATGAAGCACTTGCACCAAGCATGCCAAGAGATTTCTCGAGGATCCTTAACGATGCATTGTTGAAAGAAGACCTGTAATCATAAAGAAACTTGTAACGATAGACCACTTCAAGCCACCGTAACTAAATAGTTGATTTACTTCCTCCTCTAATTAAAAATGTAATCTACGTTTCCGCTCATCTTATCAGCAATTTCACTTCCTCCAAAAATTCCACGTCGAGGGTCCCAGAAGTGAGGGGTACTAAGATAACTCATTAAAAAAAAAGAATAGTGAATTTGGACTTGGAGAAAAAAATCGTATTACCTCCTCGGCATCGCCTCTCTTCCGATTTTACATTCTTAAATGAAATCAAAGATCTATACCTCTTATTTTTCACAAGCAAACGGGATGAACAAAACGAGCGAGATAAACTTAACAACGAAATTCGGGAACTTAACAAACGTATCCAAATACAACGCCTCTATACCAGCGAAGTGGAAGCAATGACACAAACACTGGAGGAAAAGAATAAAGCTTTAGTCAAAATGCTTGATGTAAATTCATTTCTCAGAACACTAATAAGCATAACGTGTCCACTTGGTTTGACAAACTCCCCCAAAATTTCAGGAAACCTCGAATGAAGCGTACAACAACCGCAAACGTTTGGACTTGCTGGAAAAGGAGCTTGCTCAGACACGCAGCGAAGAAGCCAAAGCCAAAGAGAAGATTCAACAAATCAAATCGCACAATGATCAATTGATCAAATTAAAGGTGCGCCATAATCTACAAATCCTCTCACTAAAGAGCAATCTGGAGCATCTGCATACGCAACATAACACCACAAGCAACAAGCTAGCCAAGACCGTAGTGGAACTCGAATATGCGATACAGGAACGCGATGAGAACAAGCGGGCGTTAACGCAGCGCATTAGTCTGTTGAAGGTGAGTTTTAAGAAATGCTGATGATTAAATTCTATGTCGATTGTTCGCATTTTAGACGCGAGAGGATGAGATTATCAAACTGAAACGTGAGAATGCGAAGCTGGTCAAATCGGAGGAGAACACCGCACGCAAGTACGCAACCCTAAATGATGCACGCTCCAAGGCGGAGGAGGAGAATGCGCGCTTGAAGTAAGTGAGCTTTTGAATTTACTTTCGGCTGGAAAGTATTGATTGCCGCTCATTATTCTTCACAGAACCCAGCTGAGTACACAGGACAAGGAGTTGGAATCGATGCGACGCATTGTACATCAATTCGAAAAGAACAACGAACATCTGACTAAGGAGCGCGACACGCTGAAACGCGACTTGTTCGCCGAACATCAGACAGCCGAACAGACAGACGAACAGTTCCAGGAAGCACAGCACCAGATTAAATCGCTACAAGAAACCATATCTACCATGGAAGTGCGACAAAAGAAACTGCAAGAGGACTACAACAAGTTGAAGAAGGAGAAGACGAAAAAAGTAGATGAAATCCAAGTTTTGTTGGACAAAATCGATGCGCTGCAAAGTGAGCACTACCGGCATTAAACACTACCTATATAATGCTATAGATAACTAATACTTACTCTTCTTACTCTTATCCACAGACGAAATACAATTGAAAGAAAACTACGAGGTTGAACTAAAACGCGCCATAAGCGATCTCGAGCAAAAGACTAACAATCTACAACGTCAACACGATGGGTTGTTAAACGAGAAAAACAGTGTTATGCGAAATCTGCAGACATCCGAGGAGAAACACGGAAAATTGGAGCAACAAATTTCCAAGCTACAGGAGGATATCGAGTGCTACAAAACTAAGGTATCCCTAAGAGAGAGTGAGATGGGTCGACTGCAAGTGCAGATCGATAAATTGGAGAAAGAGCGCCGGCTGCTAAAGACTGAGTTACGCTACTCCCAACTGGCGCATCAGCACACACGTTGTGAATTGTTGGAGCGTAAGAAGCTGTGCGATAAGAACACCAAATCGCTGCAGGTCAGTAAGCTACACGCAATTATCTTAGGCTAGAATTAAAACGCCAATAAATATGTTTACTTCCTTTTCATTTTATTTTAGGAGGACAACCAAAAATTATCGCAACTGAAGCGTGAACTGGATCATATCAGAGACGAGAAGAATACCGTGTCAGTGGCGCTCACAAAATGCAATGACGACTACGCGCAGTTAAAAGATCAACTGCAAACACTGCAAACGGCCTACGAGCAAACCGAGCGGCAATATGCGCAAGCGCAAGAAGATATGCGTCTGATGCGCATGGAAATCAAGAATTTACGTACGGAACGCAATGTGTTGCGCAAGGATCGCGAAAATGCGGCAGATTTGCGACAGGAACTGCTACAAATGCATAGGCTGCTCAATCAGGAACGTATCAAGGCACGCGCCATGCAGGAGGAGATGATGACACCGATGAATGTGCATCGTTGGCGCAATTTGAAAGGACGTGATCCAGAGAAAATGGATCTAATACAGAGAATACAAACTTTGCGAAAGTAAGTGTAGACATCGAAGTGGACTACATATCCTTCTTCCTCTTTATTGGCGCTGTAACCGACTAGGCGCTGTAACCGACTAGGCGGTTTTCCGGGCCCAAAACAGCCCGCCAGGCGTTTCTCTTCTATGCCAACTGACGCCAATTGAAAACGCCAAGTGAAGCCAAGTCCTTCTCCATCTGGTCTTTCCACAACCAGCATCGCGACTGCATATCCAACTTTATGCATATAATGTTTGTGAACTAACGTCAGGAAATTCTCCCAGTAACGTATATAGAAAGAAACAGTGAATCCTTAATAAGATTTATGAATAATGCAGTTTTCGGGATTTTAATGTAAAGCACAGCACACCTGGTTCCGGTGCATGCCTAAGTCTTCCCGCGTAAGTGAAATATATTTACGTAACTGTAGAAAGAAGCCTTTAGTAAGACCGCCTATAGCGCTTTGGGTATAATCGTTTATTCACGTATTCTGATGTAGTATAGTGGAGTAGAATCATTGTCTCGAATGCTGGACTGAGACCATTAGTTAGTCGGCGAAACGCAGAGAATGCGGCTAATTTCAGTGCCTACGAGCTTCACAGGATTAGCCAAGAAATGCGGGTCAGAGGTTTCCATCTTAGCCTTGCGAAGGCTAAAGAAACGTGTTGCGATTTTTCCACCTCACCATCCTCTTGACAGCTGATGCGAAAGGGATCTGTTAAAATTCCACATCTTACCGCGTGAATACAGATTTCCCAATGACCCGTCATAACATTCACCAAAAGCTAAAAATGAGGATTTGCAAGCATAAGGAGCTGATTTGACCGCCTGCAGTCCAAGCGCTCGCTGAGCTCTCTTAAGACCCAACCGTCCAAGAGTGAACCTCAGAAGAGCCATTCCCGATGATAACATTTCAATGTCTTTGTGGTCCGGCGTCCAAATAAGCCGGATTAAGAAGTATTCCGACGCGATTTAGAAAGGTCAGATATTCCCTTACCGATTTTGAGTGCATCATCATAGCGCTCAGGGCCCTGATAGCCGCCTGGCTATCAAAACATGTAATAGTATCCACCCTAATTGACGTTTACTCTTCAGCAGTGAGTCTCCCATTTCCTTGATGGCAGCTACTTCCGCCTTAAAGACACTGCACAAGTTCAGAAGCAGAAACATAGTTTTGGTGGAGAAATCCCGTCAGAAAACACCTCAACGAATCATCCATCAAGTTTTGATCCATCCTACCACCTTCCTGTAGTCCCGCGCCAGCCACACCTGCCTTTAAGGAATCTGGGTAGGGAAGGAGCTACTGGGGGCAATTTTAGAAGCACAGTAATCTATTCATTCAGGGACGAAATCACAGCCCTCCAGAACTCCAGAGTGTCCAGCTTTCGAAGAAGGTAACCTTCTGGCTTCCCTTAGCCTGATGGCAGTTTGTGCTGCGAGAACTGAGCCCGCAATATCTACAGGGGTGATGTTCAACATGGCGTCAATCGACAGTGTAGCTGTGGTTCTAAATGCTAATCAGAGAGCAATCCCTTGTACGCGCATCAGCTGCTTAGCAAGTGTAACCTTCTCTAGCGAGTCCACTAGTCAAGGCCCCGTAAACAAGACACTCTTAACTATGGTTTCATAGTGCCAATGACTTTGGACGAGAGACCCCACCTCTTACCAATACCCCCCCTGCAGCAGAATTTATTGTGGACAAGCAGTAAAAAGCAACCGACGCCTTTCCTGCCCTTTCTTTAATGTTAGGATTCCCCAACAACATCTTCCAGGATCAGACCTTAGTACTTGACTCTGTTGGATACCCCGGATCGGGGAAAGAGCTACACGGGGGACCTTGTACTTCCTAGTAAACCGGACCGTCTTACTGGAATTCTTTACGGCCCCGCAGTTGGACGCTCACCTTTTACCAAGTTCAGGTTACTTTGAGTTAGACCAAAAATATATCTAGAAATCGGTCCCTCACCATAAGTACCACATCATGTGCATAGGCGATAACCCATCAGCCCAGTTTCTGAAGTTCCTCCAGAAGGTCCTATACAACCGCTAACCAGAGCAGTGGACACAGAGAACCACCTTTCGGAGTGCATCTATTGACTCTACGCTGAGTGCAGGTTTTTCGACTCGAAAGTTCTGTCGCGAAGTAAGCTTTAAATGAGTCTTACTAGATTGGTTTCAACCCCTCCATAAACACATATTTGAAGGTCCCCTCGATGTCGGGGAAGGCTCTTACTGTATAATATTTATGAGTGAAGGCTTACTCTATACACTTTATTAATGTATGTAGGGCGGTGTCCATCGATGTTGATCCCTCGAAAGACAGTGATGTGTGCAGATCAATCAGTATATCTAGCGCTTTTAACAAAAGCAGACTGTTTGGCCTGGAAGTCCTTAGGTGAAATGTAATCACATTCTCTTTGATTTTGGTACCACGAAGTTCAGGGAAAAGAGGCTGTTTAGAAGATTGTCAGAATATTACCCTTTTGTCGTTGGCCCTAAAGATCAAACTAAATTCTCTATACCGACAGCTCCAAGAATAAAAATTAAGTTGGAGCTGGCTGACGCAAGTGCAATATGGACACCTGCAAAGCAACCAAGTGTATCCTAAAAATAGTGATGTGCGAAATTCCTTATCTAACACAGAGGGAAGGAGCTACGAGCAATCACATTGATCGAGTCTGCCTCCGAGTGGAAGCACCAATCATTTCGTACGCGCTTTCCTTATCTAACCTAACCAACAAGCTCTTATATGAATAACTATGGGACACGATCTATGGGGGCAACAAATGGTGTTATTTATTGTGGACAACCCCCTTTGTACGCCTTGCTGAGAGATTGAAGATGGTATAAAGCATTTTCTTCACCATACTGATATATTAAATTTTTGGGTTAGATGTACTGAGAATGAGGAGTTAAATTATATTTCCCTCGACACAAACTACTAAAGTTCATTAGAGCCTAAAAATTTGCCCACTTATTTCGCAATTCTTTTTATCCCTTCCATAGGCCTTGCAATGGGCAACTATTCCTAGATAAATACCTGAAAAAGCGATCTTGAGTTTTCCGGCCTACCATAAATCCATTCCATTCATTCTAAGTGGGTGTTGAAAGGGGGAAAATAAATGGAAATAAATTGACAGCTAAAGTATTTTTTTTGTTATTCTAGGCAAATACTACAGCAAAACGTGACAGCACTGCAGCACGAAGAAGCGCTCGAGGAATCGCAACGGCTTTATGAGGCACTTAAAGAGTTTATGCTTAAGCTGCCGAGTCATAAAGTGCGTGCCGAATTGAATAGCGTGAAAGTTAGTACATATTATAGATGTTTGAGTTAAGCTGTATTTCTTTAACTCGCCCTGAAAATATATATACTTACAGGCTACTTTGTCTGGCAAAGAACGAAAATTGAAAGCACTAATGGCCGAACTGCACGTGAGAGAATTGGACGAGAAAAGTAATTCACAAAAGTTAGACGAACTAAAGGTACGTCTTACCGATGCCAAATCTCAGCTGAACCTCGAGAAAAGACAGAAGCAAAAACTTTTAGAAGAGCGTCAGCTATTGGTACAAATGCAGGCACAATGCTTCTCAGCGCCACCAAATATGCAACGCACACTGGGCGCTAGCTTCAAGCTCATAACTGGAGCGTAAACAGGAAACAAGTTTGTGCATGTTTTTTTGTTTTTTTTTTCTTTGAACTTGTACATTTGATCGTGTTTTAGACACTAAAGAAAATACATATACATATGGATAAAGTGCAGAAAATGAGCCGAGACTTTTATTATTTTTTTGTTTATTAAATTACAAAACAAGTATGGCATTTTCTCTGAGTGAAAGTTCCCTGCAGGAATGAGCAGCACATATTAATATTGAGAAGAAGGAAATAAGAGATGTTCCTCTTATTTCTAGCATATCAATAAAAATTACACATTGCTCATTCCATGTCAAAGAGTCATTCGATCATTACCAAAATGTAATTAACACAGTGTGCTCGATAAGAACTATCCTATGTCATATTAAAATAAAATTTAAAAATTGTATGAATTTTAAATGGTTTGTTTACATTTTTTGATATTATAGTACCTTAAAAGAGAGCCGCAATGAGTTGGCAATTACACCTTGCTTAATACAACTTGCTCATTATGGCATACATACGCATATAATTAGTATATTGCACTCATCGTTCCTCGGCCTCTGATAAATTTCGAATACAATTATACATCTGAAAATGTATTAAGGTAAAAATTGTTTCCATAAAGATGCGTTCTTCGTGCCCTTAAACCGAAAATGTGTATAAATTTCCACTTAAAAACATAAAAAAAAAATAATAATATTTCGTCAGCGTGTTAAACTGTCTTCATCTCCTGCGTATCTTGGCTGGGATCGCTGGTCTCCACAAAAATGCAATCCATGTAATTCTCCTGGCTCGAGTAGGCGAAGGGCACAACGGCGCTCGATGTTGCAGACTGTGTTGGCTGTGTAATGCTTTGCTGTTCATAATTGTCTTGCTGCTTTGCTTTCTTTAGCGTGTCTTTGAATTCTTCAATGATGCATTCACGCGCTTTTAATTCAATTTGATTGATCGATAACTCCGCACTGAGCGCTTTCAATTTTTTTAACTGTGAGCGATTAATGCGCTAAAGAGAGAGAGAAATAGATTAGATGTTGAAAGAGTATCAAATGTTGTGTGAGCTCGAACTTACCTGCGTTACTACAAGCTTTTCTTTGACATCTGTTGTCGGCAAATTCTCCACCACACGTTTTAGAGTATCACACACACGATGTGTCTCTTCCAGCTTTTGCTCTAGCTTCTCTTTATATATCTCTTGTTTCAGATTTCGCCTGCGGATAAATTAATTCTTGTATATATGTATACTACCCCTGCCCACATGGTAACATTAGTAAAGAGACTAGTGCCCTTGGCTTTGGTTAAATTTTAAAAGCGCGGAGATGTTCAAATGCTAAATAATACCAGATATTAACTTTTCACCTTTCACATTGAGCTCAGTCAGTGATGGGCGCAACCATCAGAGTTTATAAAATGCTGGGTTAGAGGACAGCTCTTGGTAAGTGTTCATCCAGAGGCCGCAAAGAACCTTTGTGATACCTAGGAGAGGATTTCCCCAGACCTGCCTATGCAACTCCTTAAAGCATCCTTGTCTAGTAGACCCTGTAGTGGAATTTTTCTCAAACTGTCTAAGTTCTCAAATAAATGATTCGCAGATATTTTAGGCGCTTTCCCCGGAGTGCAGAGCATTCACATAGGAAGCGCTGAATGAATTATATCTCTTCTCAACATCTTCTATAGAAATTGTTATCCGGCACTCAGAACTTATGCGCCTTATGACCAATGATCCAATGTCCCGTTAGTATTACTTTGAGAGGCCGAACAGTCGGCACTGAGAAGCTCGGCAATCCCTGTGCCCTGCGTTCAACGATCAGTGGCTATATTAAGCGCGATATATTGCAGTTCTAGCCATCTCTTCAACTTCTGGCAACGGAAATCTTAAGAAGACAGTATGCTTAGACCCCATCCCCTAATCTTTTCTTAAAAACCCTTTCTTTCACTCTCGCCAAATTCTTTCCAGCTCTGAACTTTCATATGATTTCAGCAAATAATATAGAAATTCTGAACTGCATATTAGGTCATGCGGGTCCTGACGGTAATGAGAAAGTGAAACTCTGAGCTACAGAGTGTACACTCACTGGACATTCTTTCCTCAGCAAATAGCTTAGTCACCGCTAAGCTTTCATATACAATAATCTAGTATTTTTGTAAGTTGAACACCCTACCGCTCCACCCAATTTATACTCTTCTCTCACCTCTGTAACATTTGCACTTTCTCCAACAACTGATAGCGATTCGGATCTTCACCCTTGAGTATGCGCCAGCGATGTACACCGGTTGGTGTCTTTGCATCCTCAGTGAGTGAGCGTACCTTGATACGTTCCTGATTTAAAGAACGTTGCAATCTTATGATTTCTTCGCGCATATTCGCTGTACTCTTTATGGCACGCGTCAGGCAATCACGTTCCGTTTGTAAGTTAGTTATTTCCATTTTAAGCAAACGTATATCTTCAACACGTTGATTGTACTGCGTTTGTCCTTCGCGAATATTGGAAAATAACATATACATATGTATAGACACCGCACAACAAAGCAAGAATACTATAAATTTACGAACCTTGATCCAAAGCCGTTTGCGTATTATTGAGCTTTTCACGCAGCACTACGATCTCATCATTGCGTCGCACCATTTGCAGCCCAACCAGGTTCTTCTCCTTGCGTGTTTCATCGAGATCCTGTGACATTTTCATGAACTTCAACTCATCTTCGTGTATAGTCTTGAGAAGGTTGTCGTTTTTGGTCTTCATTTCGCGTAAATCACGACGTACACTGGCCAACAGATTCTCCTTGTTCTTCAATTCGGACTGCAGCTCTTTTTTGTCGTTGTTCAGGCGCTCAATTTGCAAATTGAGGTTGGAAATCTTGTTTTGGTTGGCCATTATTTCTGCGGTGAGTTGTTGAATTTGATGATTCGTTTTCTAAAGAATAAAACAAAAAAAAAGTGAGCTAATCGGAGAGTGATGCTCCAATGTTAAAATCCTGATCTTTTCTTTATTTAAGGCAGTCTATTTTTGTATGTATATTAATCTCGTTGTTTTAAGTCGGTGATCTCTGTAATAATTTTTTATTCAGCTGCAATCTCTTACCGTCTGCAATATGCGAAAATTATCGCGTTCCTGCGTACACGTTTCCAAATTTCGTTTCAGCACCATTTTCTCTGAATGGACCGTTTCCAACTGTTTTTTCACGTTGATCAAAGCTAAGTGCTTTTGCTGTAGTTTTTCGCTCAAATCCGTAACTTGATTCGATTTCAACTGAATTTGTTCTTAATGAAAAAATTATAATTATAAAAAGTTAGAGATCAGTAGCTCGTTTCTGTAACAATTCTCTACCAAGGCGAATTGAGATATGAATTCGCCGCCCTGTTCTCTACTGCTAATTTGTAGGTGAGAGTGACGTATTTTCTCTACCAGTAGAGAAATAATCGGTAGAGAAAAGTTACAGAAACGGGCTACAGAATTTTTAACTACATATAAATTTTTTAGCATGACTTTATAGGTTAGAGGTTAACTGTATGTGTAAAGTTAACTGTTAACCAGGCGAATTCATATAAGGTGCTAAGTGTCAAATGTCAGCTATTCTGCACTCGATGAAGAAAAGGGAAAGAAAATTTAAACAGGCTCACTTTCTTATTAACTTAGAGGAAATTTAGACACACGTGTACCGAGGCGCATCAGAACAGCTGTCCTAGCAACAGCATCTAACATAAATTCGCCTGGATTTTAAGAGTTTCTTGTCGACTGAATGTTTAAATATTTCGTTTCTTTTGGATCTAGACAAAAAAAAAAGGTGGGGACTTTTTAGATCAATGATTTTGATCATTTTCACTGAAGCTTTTTCGGCGGTACTATCTCTGGCGTTAGGATTATCGAAAAGAAGTTTTTAGGGCCTAACCCAAAACCGTAAATGGATTTATGACCAGCGGATTCGCGTTGAATGGTGCACTTTAAATCGCTACTATCGTTCAATTATGCAACTTCATATGGATATGGTGCAGCGATTAACACTGTCATACGAATTTGTGTAATTGATCATCAATGCACCGTTCTCACCCGGTACTACAGATAAATAATTCTTAAGGAAGTGGACCCGGGCATTGGATTTCATCGTCTGCTCCTGTCCTGGTATGACACCTGCCACTCTCAGTCACATAACTACCCTTCTATCTAAACTTTCGGCTCACACTTCCAAATAGATTAGGAGTCAGGATCTTCGGGATCTTCTTTAGTCGCGAAAAATACTGCATAGGCTTCAGTTTCGACCTGTAAGGCTTCTTCTCTCCTTTTAACCGATCGATTCTCTGGCTGTTAATTTGTAAATAATTTCAGATGCGTTAGTGTCCACTGCCTACTACATGCAGTATCTTGAGCCCAAGATTCCTGACTGGACGATGTTCGAAACAACCAATCAGTGCGGTGTGTCGGCCCAGTCTTCAATATTTGGGATGAGCCTACACATAAGTCCAACGGACATTGGGAGATGAGTTCCATCGTTCCTGTCATTCGGTTCGCGGGCGCTTTCTTGCCAGTGTTCGTAAACTTGATGAAACCATGCAGCTGGTAATGGTGAACGTGGCCTATATCTCCAGTAGATCGGTAGGACTGAAAGCCGCCCCCACAAACGTTTCGTCTTCTAAACTGTCTTAAAAAGCAGAAAAGTGCCAAAATTCACGTAGCATATTCATACATATATTTGCTTCTTCGACTGCATAAAGCCCCATTAAAAGCAAATAACCAAATCTCAGGGTCCTAGAAAACCACGGTTTCATAACACTCGCCTGCAGTGGTCGCCTACAGTATTTGGACACTGCGGGATCGTAGTTAACGGAAGGCTCATCGTCTATTCTAATTTTGTCTACCTCGTATTGGGGAGAGGTAGGACATCTTAGACAGGCCATACTTTTTGGTTATCCTTTTGCCAGAAAAGATATAAATATATACCGGTCATAATCACCTGCACTCTCACAGGCACCGGATTGGTCATTGGTCTTTCCTCTACCCTCATTGCCTTGAAGATGAGGAGATATCGGAGCATATTATGTGTAATTGTCCAGCATTAGCCAGACTAAGACTGCAATACTTCAGTTCTTCCTCAACTGATTCCCTCAAGGTTAGAAATTCATCTCACACCATACCAGTCACCGACTACTTACGTTTATACTTAAAGAGTCTGAATTACGGCCTTGCCTTTGTGGAAATATGAAGTAAAACCTTCAGATATTGTAAAGGTGAATTCACAAACATCAAAACTTTGTCTTTTAGGAAACCAAAGTTTCATTTGGAAATATATTGCAGATATTTTGTAGCGCAGTATCCCTTCGCTCAACTTCAAATACCTACCTTGTTGATATTCGATGCGTTCGTGCAGCGTCTCGACCTCTTGCGCCATTTCGTCGCGCTCCTTCTGCGACTTCGACACGCTTATACGCGCTTCGTCTAGTTTCACATTCAATTTATTTATATCCAAATGAAGTCCATCGATATTGATAGTTTGCATCATAATGGTGTGTTTGAGATCGGCTATCTGATTGTTCAACTTGACGATATCGCTGCGCAATGCATCTCGCTCGTGTTGTATGTTATCCTTAACATTGCGCAGTTCGTCAAATTTGTAAGTTGAATTAACCAGATCCTTTTCCAATGCATTGATTTGGTTTCTAAGCAAATTAATGCACATCGTAATGATTATTTAAGCTTAAGAGAATAACCACAATGCATCAAGTTAGACTCACTTCAGCCGTGCAATATCCTCGCCCAATGTGTTATTCAGTCGATTCAGTTTGTACAGCTTGGATGAAATGGAGCTGTGATCTTGCACGGCCTTCTTGTATTTTTTTGTGATTTGATTTATTGTGTTGGCTTTTACTTTATCCTCCAGTCGTAACGCTTTAATAAGCTCCTCATTTGCGCGCTGGTCCATTCGCATCTCAGTTATCTCTTCATCATTCTTGAGCAACTGTCGATTGCTTATTGCATTGTCATTACGCAATTTCTCCACCGTATGCTTTTGCTGATCGTAGTCTTCTACTTTCTTCGCTAACTTTTTTTGTGTTTCCATCAACTGGACGTTGTAAAGGAATAGTCAAGAAACAAGTAGTACTTAAGCAACAACACCGTATACTACATATGTACCTCACGATTAACGGCATCCAATTTCAAAGCTGTGCGCGTAGTGATTTCCTTCTGATCTTCGAGATTACTTTGCAAACTTCGAATTTTTACCTCGAAATTTCCCTTTTCCGTTTCGAGCATGCGCATTTGCTTATTATTCTTTGCTAAAGTCTCTTCATTGTTTTTGTTGATATACTCGAGAGATTCAGAGTAGTACCGTTGGAATTGTAAACGTTTCTCAAGATCAATCACCTCACCGTTGAGACGATCGCGTTCACGCAAAATAATGTTTTTGTATTTTGATAAATTACCAAATCTGTGAAGAGAATTAATTATAACATAAGTGGAAATTGTGTACCAAGCTTTAAAATGATAGAGCTTTCCTTCAAAGCTTAACTAAATACCTTTTCTACAGGAATCCCATGAAAACCAAAGGGGGCCTATTTAATGTGCAAGATGTGAACACGCCTACGACAGCAATTACTACTGTCCATGTGAGTTTGATTCAAGGCAACTCCCCGATACGCCTTTCAAGGGAGCTGCGGAACGAAAATCAAAAGCGGACTGCAGATCCAAAAGAGCTTACGTGGCGTGAATACTGTGGGGGAATCTATTCCCTACCCGAGGCATTAACCCTATAGAACGCCCGCAAATTTGATCAATCGTATTGCCTATGAATTGTCTAACAACCAGATTGGTCTCCCAAAAGGAGTCCAGCAAGTTTTCTCAAGAAACCTACTTCCCAGGCTTCCTTTCGCAGAACCTAATTATTAAGAGAATCGCGAAGGCGCCTTGTATGCGAACAGGAGGACGAGAGTCTTAGCGGGAAGCATTTTTAGTGAGAAATTACTCCGAACCATCACAATGCTTATGCCATCTCCTAGACCAGGCGAAATTTACTCATGTTTACTACAGCATAGTGCAGGTATAATTGCTATCAGGGAAGGTCGTTGCAGTCAGGCGGCATTGAAAACGTTCGGTTCCAGGGTGGTAGAGTCGAAAGTAGTTTCGAATGTCGTGCATCGCTGGCTTCACTGAGTCACGTTAAAACATCTTACTCCTGGTTTACTGGGCATAACAATATCGAAGGGTACGAAAAAGCTGACGAAATGGCTAGACACAGCACGGAAATGCAAATTAGTGAAGCGAACTCTGATCTACTAAGGAGGGTCGAAGTACTTATACGAAGAAAAATTATTGATGCTAAACAAATCTGCAGTAAAGACATCATCACAAGACACAGTGCTATATCTCCCCAAAGTTCCATCGATGGCGTATACGAAACAAGTGAAGATATTGAGCTTCACAGCTTCATCTGGGATAGTAAATAGTTTAACAGACACAACACTGACAATATGGAATAACTTCGGTTAGAAGGATGTGTGTGTCCTCCTAGTAGTCATTCAGAATGGGCATGTCTGCTCTGAGTGGATGAAGTAGACATTCGTACGCGCCTTCGTAACCTAATCTAATCAATCAATCATATTCCAAGTATGGGACAGAGCCAGACTCTGCTGTCCTGGTAGCTGGCTTATGAAATCCCACAGCATAAATTATTCGATTGCTCACATTTTATGCTCGTAAGTCAAGCGGTAATACACTCCCAAAACCTGTTATCGTCCCCACCAGAAATGTGAAACCTGCCAATCCCTAGTGGACAATTTCATGAACAACCACAGATTGGAATGATTTCTCAAAGGCTAAGAGGGAAAGGTGTATGTATACAGGTTCCAAATCAAACGGAAGTCTTTAAATCTACCAACACCATCGCAATCACTTACTCCGATGTATCATCCTGTTTCTTCGCCTCCTTGCTCTCTATTCCTTCACATTTTATCATTACTTCCTGCAAACGCTCTTGCGTATCCTGTTCGCGCAATAATGAGGCGTCACTCTCCATCCAGGCTTTGCCTATGGAAGGTAAAAAAAAATTAATATCGTTCAATATCACAACACATCAGTGACACAAATCGGTTGCCCACTTACTTAGAGCTTCGCGCAGCCGCTCCATAGCCTCCTCTGAATTGGCGGTCAGTTCCAAGGCCAAGCGCAACTTATTCTCCGCGCGTATTACTTGTGGTCGCAACACGGACGTCTCTTTCACTTCATCGGCATAGCGACGATGTAAATTGAATATTATATCCACGTATTTCTTAATTTTCGAAGCTTCATAAGTGCGATTCGCTTCCATGAGTTTTTGTATAGTCTGAGCGAAGCGAAAGAGAAAAGTTAAAATTTGAATTTAGCGTTGGATTGGTGAACATTGCCGTTGCGTCACCTGATTGGCTGCCGAGAAGAAGTCATCGTTAAGGTCATCCAACAAGTCCAATTCACGCTCATTTATAGAAGTGTCAGATAATTCAATTTGTGGCTCCGGCTCCACTTCCGTTACGGGCTCTTTTTTCTTTTTGCCTTTTCCCTTAACCTTTTTCGGTGGCATTTCGTTTTAGTTTCCTTTTCTATCACTGATAATAAAAAATTTATTTATATAAAATATATTTTATTTATTTTTGCAGTACACAAAAAAGCTTCGTGCAGATTTTTTTGCAAGCGTGCGCTTTTGCCGTAAAAGCTTTTTATATTTGAGGAAAATAGATTTACTCCAAAAAATAAAATTTTTCAGTTTGTAAATTGTATTCGTTCGAAAGTGATTGAGTCAGAAGGCTTTGTCAAGGTCAGTTAGTGATTGTGGGAATTTTTTAAAAATTGATAATAAAAGAGGGCGACACAAATTAAGGTTTTATTTATTTTTATACTTATCATAAAAATTTTTAAGTTCCAACCACTTCCAGCACTTGCGGTAGCGAGAACGTTCAATATAAGAATTTCACGCTGTATTTTGTCGCATCAGAACTTTGTTCCCTGTATGTATGTTCGACGGGCGCCATCATTACTGATAAGGAAGTTTTATCTAAAGATCCACCTGACGTCGCTGCGGTCGAATTTGGAGGAACGACTTTATAGCGTCCTGCGGATATACATACATACCTTATGTCCGTTTTATATCATGAAAGATTATAATCTCTTTAAAAGCTAGTTTACTTCCTGTTTTCGACACGATTTCTTGAAAAGAAAATTAGTAAAGCTGGTAACGCTTTTTATTTACTACCTGTACAACGTTGGAGCTAGCAATAAGTGTATATCTGGTGTACCCTGGACGGTGAAAAAAAAATTGGGGTGAATTTGTTTTCAGGCGAAACTCAGGACGAGGCGATATTCTTCCTTAAGCGGCAGCACGAAGGCCTCGTTTTCAGATGTGTTCAAGCAACATGAGAAGGCATCCCATGCTAGTGCGATGTTCTGACAGGTCCATAAAATGTTCTGATTATTAAGCGTAAATGCATAATTGCAGCTTGACCTCTTAGTGGAGACGCCGTCGATGTTGCAGCGGCAACGCTAAGGCCCCATGTGGCTAAAAAGCGAACCAGATTTTAGACATGGCCGTTTACTTTCAATACTCTTGGTGAACGCCGATATCGAACAGTGGTCCTCGGAGCTCTCCTTCTTACCTACGAGCAGACATTCGCCGTTCACCTTTTGCCTCCCTTAATGGGCAATATGTAAATATCTGCTCCAAGACCTTAGTTTCTAAAATGTTTGGAGTATGAAAAAAGCATAGTATTCCGGCATCTGAAACTGAATTTGTCGTCCTTACCATCAAACCCCAAAGTATCGCATATTATAGCATAATATTTCAGAGTACCGTTAATTTCTTCATGGTCCAATTATCGGAACTAAATCAAATTGAGGTACCGCCTTCCCGATCCACAGCTATTCGGTAACAGAACGGTATTTCTAATAACGATTCGACAAAAATTAAACACGATCTTTCATTTTTACATTGTTTTGTGTATATAATGTATATATACTTATTTATTTAATTTTTTTAAACAAATTAGTTTTACGATTCACCAGTATACAATAAAATTTTGGAAATTGGTAGTTTTTTTTAGGTATTACAAGGAAAATCGCAGATCAGCGAAATAAGAGTAAAACAAAACTTTTAGATCACAAAATTCTTCACATTTCATATAAAAAAAAAAATAATAATCAATTTTAGCAACATAAAATTATTGTTGACAGTTGAATTTGTAAATACGTATATTTTTTTTATAGCAGTTTTTTCGGCCATTTCGTTATATAGTCATTAAATAATTTTTTTTTGTTTATTTATTTTTTTTTTTATTTAACGCCTAACAAATGCAATACAAATTGTTAGTTTCCAGCGAATGCCATTTAAGTGTCATTACAACTAATACATTACAATAGCGAAAATGTTGAAAAATTAAAACAATTATACATGTATGGGTAAATATCAACTAAACAAAATCAAAGATAAATTGAAGTCAAGTAAACGCGTATACATACATACGAATGTTAAGACACTTCAGCGAGTCACATAGGAAATTAATTAATAGGGGAATTCCCTCTTATGTGTATTCGTTGTATATGGTGTAATCGTAACTGCATGAGCGTGTGATTTGTTGTTGTTAGCGGTACATCAAACACACATGTACTTAACAACAACCAAACGCTCGTCCAGTTACACTTACGCAGGATACAGCGAATACACACAAGCGCGAATACACATACATATTACATATTTATACATATTTTTTTTACAAAAGCAATGCAATAAAAAAGTAAGGCTATATGTGTTTAATTCATATTTACTTACTATTGCAAAGAAAATGTGTATGTATTAATATAATTGATAGAATACCCAAAATATCAGAACTCAACTTATTTCAGAAATTTCCTATACTACACTATTTTCACACTTTCTCTTATCATCTCATTACTTTCGGCCGCACGCATCTCAGAAACACAATTATGCAATATAAAACAGATATGGGCGTGTCTTAATATTTTTATTTTCAGTTTTTGTTAAAAAATTATTTTTAGTTTCCTCTTCACTAAAAAATGCAATACAAAAACTTCTTATTACTACAAAACTAACAGTTGTCTATGTTCATCAGTTATGTTTTTATTGTTTTAAATTTCATTAAATACTAAGTTATACAAAAATAGACCAAGTTCTAAGTTGTACATAGGAATACATACATACACTGTGGTTGCTGACTCTTTTACTACATATGCGAATGTTTGATAAAACTTAAATCAAACTTGTATTTTTGAAACAAAAAAAAAAAAAAGAAATATGTTAATCAAAAATCCAAACCGTATGCAAATGTATGCGCAAGCAGTTTTCTGCTAGGAGGGTATTTAGACCTGAGCTAGGAACAAGTTATTAATTTTAAAAGAAATTGCATTGTTATATCACAAACACAAACGTAAGCTGAATATGAAAATTTCCGAGACGGGATTCTGCGCTGAATCTAATACGTTTTACACGAAATGATTAAAAAATATTTGAGTTTGAAAATTCACAAAAATGCTGCATTTTGCTGTCTCAATTAAATATCTTTGTTTTTATGGAATCGTAGTGTTATAATTTGTTATACGAAACAACTGGAAATGCATAATTTAGGCAAAACGCATGCCGGTGTTCTAGCTCAAAGCTAATACATTGCTCCTATTTCCAAAAAAAAAAAAAAAAAACAGTTTAGTAACAGTCTACCTATGGAACTGTACCCCCTTACGCAAACATCATTATCTGAATTGTTGACATCGATTTGTTAATTGTAAACGCTATTCTGGCTTACAACAAACACACAGTTGTAATTGTCGCTAACTTAAAAGTCCAATACAATTCATATTTACACATTTGCATTGTGTAACTTTTCACAATTTAAAATTAAACAAACAAAAATCGAAAATCATTTAGATTATAATGTTCCACAGACGACGCGTGGCAAAGTATGGTAAAGCAGCAGTAAAGCAATACGAAAGCCTAGCTTTTCATTTTTATCAGTTCCGCGAGTGAGCTCCCTCTGAGCCCTACCCATTGCTGCAGTTCGCCTTTCTACGACCCGCCAGCTGTTGCTGCTGCCGCTGTTGCCCGCGGCGATATGACAGTGCTACGCCCAGCGCCGCCACCAGTGACAGTGGTATTGGCGCGCACCTCACGCACATAGCAATCACGGCATACGCGTACTGCCTTTGTCAGTCCATATTTGGGTAATGGTGCCGATGCATTCGAACAGACACCGCAGAATACGCCACCGCAGTTGCGACAGTGATGGCGACGGCGGAATGCTGTGAACTGTGTGCGACAAGCCATGCAACGCGGCGCCTTATCGTCCGGCACCCAAGCGGGCGGGGACAGGCGTGTATTTATGCTGGCGGTGCGCATACTAGTAGCGGCAGCGGCAGCGGCAGCAGCAGACGGTGGTGACGTTCTTGTTGCTGTTAGATTATTATTGTTGTTACTGCTAGCTGGGTTGGGTATTGAAGCGCGCTGACTAACTGGTGAATTGCTTTCGGACGAGGCAGATGATGAAGAGCTGGATGAGATGGGCGAAGTGCTATCCACTGAATCATTTCGATTTCGGCGTTGCCGCTGTCCACTGATGTAAGCGCTTAAGCGGCGACTACTTTGAAGGCCGACCGTCGTTGTGGCGGACGATGTGGCAGGTGTCGCGCCTATATCACTGTGATCGTGATCACCCAAACTGCGGCTGCGACTGACATGCGTGCGCCCCACGGACACACCGGACGACACAACATTCGGATCTGATACATCTATGGTATTGCCACGCTGTATGGCGCCACCAAGGGAATGCCGATTATTGCTATTGCTGACGCTGACGCTAGCGCCGCTGCTGCTGCTGCTGTTGCTGCTGCTACTGTTATTACCGCTGCCGGAACCACTACCGCTACTGTTGTGGAACACATTGTCCAGCTCGGGATTGACTTCCTCTGCTGAATAAATGCTCTGGTTGGAGCCGGCATTCTCCTGTATCACATCCTGTTCGGAAGCACGGAACTCAAAAAGTTCCGATTCCTTTGGTTTTTCGGGTATGTCGAGCTCTTCCTGCACGGGTGACATATTCATAAGGAACACACTGCGTAGTATTTGACGTAAATCAGCTGCAAAATTGGTCTGCAGTTGATCAGCCACTCCGGCAATGCAAACAAAAAGGCGATGGAGAAGATTTTCAATAGTTCTAAAAGAATAAAAATATGAAATAAAAAATTTAATTAAGTGCGCCTGCGAGACACTACGGAAGTGAAACTTCTCTCGAATTACTTTTATCTTATGCATCTTAAATCCTTAAATCGTGGCGTAGCTCTTAATATTCATACAGCTGGCAAGAGAGGGAGATATGGAAGAATGAAGAGAAATGCACTTCCATTGCATCCCAGGTGTCACATTTATTTATGACGATTTTTTTAGTTCACCACCGACGTCAGAGAAGTTTCACTTCAATAATTTAAAAGCATACACATAAACTTACTTAAATCTCTTGCGGGTGGACACCTTTATAGCCTGATTAACTTCGTTAGGTTGTTGGTGCGCATCAACAACGCCATCGGACAGCGAAGATGCCGTGCTGCTATCTGCGCTCGAGGAGCTGTTGTTACAAGTAGTCGTCTTCGACTTGTTGAACTCTTTCACATTATCCGAGTTTCCTAGCTGTTGAGTGGTTGCGTCGTTACTAACGCAATCCTCAGCTGCGCTGCTTTTCGCCTTCGTTGTGTGATCACTGCCTCTTCGATTACGCCGATGATGATGATGGTGATGGTGATGTTGATTTTGGTGTCGAAAAGGAGGGCTACCGTGCGTATGATGACTGTGAGTTTTATGTGGTCTTGCCGCCGAGCAGCTATGATCAAGGTGACGGTGATGATGACTGCTAGAGTGACGTTGGGTTGTCTCTTTCCCACTTACTTCACTCTTTTTGCTTTGCGTCGACGAGGATGACGGAGACTCACAGCTACAGGCAGACAATTTATCAGTTTCACTACTGCCACTCGAAAGAGATGACTTTGGTGAAAGTGTTATAGTTGTAGCTGCTGTTGGCGCGATTATTGTCGCTTTATCGCCACTTTGCATGGCAGAGTGTTCAGTTTGATTGCTGAGGCGTAGTCGCCTCAATGCCGCGCTAGTGGTGGGTACATCTGAAAAAGCGCGCTCATCTTCCACCTCAACATTGGCATTACTGGACGCGTCATCTTCACTGGCAATAAAGTTGCCTGTCAAAGGAACATCTTGGGGTTGCAAAAGATTGCCGAAATTTGTATTTGGAATGAGATAACCCGAGGCGCAATCAGCAGATACAATGTCTTCGTTTTCACAATCACCAATCACTACCTCATTATCATCATCTTCATCGAGTTCAGCCTCATCATCTGCATTGATGAGAATATCATCATCGCCATCGTCGTCTTCGTCTTCGTCCTCATCATCGTCATCTTCATCATCGGACCAGTCTGCAGGTGAGGTAGTGGAGCTATTGGTTACAGCAGATGTTGTAGACGCAATTGAATGTGATGGGGTAGGTGAAGCGGCGGGTGTGGAAAGTACTGAACTGTCACCAGAGGCTGAGGAGACTGAGTGTCGACTGCAAGAGCCACAACGTGACTTCGAACCAACTGTTCTTAAATCATCTTTTGAACTTCTTGTGCCTGACTCGGCGGCGGGGAGTGGTGGGGTCCAATTTTCGGCACTGGGCCGTGTGCTACTTAAATTATTGTTTCGTTGCTCCAATTCTGGTTCTGTGAACTCTTCTGTTCTACTTGAGGGATTTTTTGTGCTAGTACTTGTGCTAATAGTTGTGTTGCTATTGTTATTCTGTTGATCCTCACTCGGCGCTTCAATGCTGCTGTGGCCAACTGGCTGCTAAAAAGAATTACAAATAGAAGAAATTAGTAAATTTAACTAAAGGACCCTGGTCTGCACAAAACGCAAAGCAATCGCACTCACATTCAATTGAATATCTTCATTGGTGCACAAAAGTTTTTCCAGCTGCTGCAATTCACTTTTGCTCAGCGTACGTAGTAGGTCGCGAATTTTTATGAGTATCGTGCGAAAGGGTCGAAACATCTCCGACAGCTGATCTGCTGACATATCCATATTCAGCGGCCCTTTCGGATAGACGACCAACCCGGTAATAATAGCCAATCGTGGAATGGAAAACATTAAAGCAGGATCGAATGTATCTACTTTGTCCTGATCAATTAGACCCAATTTAATTGCGCGTTGCAGTGTCTCTGAGAAGAGTACACAAATTAGCTCCTGCATTTCATACTCCTCCTTTGTCTTAACCTGCACCATAGCGCTGACGTAACGTAATTCGAATTCGGCAAATAAACGATCAAAAATCTTCAAACTCTCATACAATTGCTCTGTGCCCGAATCGTTAATATCCAAACGCAATGTTTTGCTGTTCGGCACATTGTTGCGAAGGCACTGATCACGCAACAGACTGCGCACTGTACCCAAACTCTTTGTGACGGCCTGTGCCAATGGACGCATCTCTTTGCTTTCCTGTTCACGATGCATTATCGATGAACCGGCAGCAAGGCACTCGGCGCCGAACCACAATTGGCCGGCAAGATTCTCTTGCAACACTTCTTCGGGAAATTTGGCGCGAAACGCACGCGGATGGCGTTCATCACCGAGCAACTCTTCCATAATCAAATTGGTGATGGCGAGTACTTTGTCCTTTTTTTGGTTGAATATGAAATTGTAAAATCACAAATTACTTAGTAAAAAAATATGTGTGTTTGGGTTTAAATTAAAGACATATATATGTACCTGTCCCTGGCGCAGCCGACTGACAAGCCGCGAACAACGATCTGGCTCTGCGCGCCCATCGAAACTATCCAGTTCGCTGGCGACGGCTGTGAGTGACCGATCTGCATGATAGAAGCGTGCAAGTAGTGATTTATCATCCGCCTGAAAGCAAAAAAAAAAGGGTTAAGAGTTTAAAATTATGTTATGCCAGTATATTTCGCCACGAACAGAGAGTAGCTTAATTTTATTAAACGTTTGAAGAATCTGCAATTTTAGCAAGGATTTTAGCACTTGGATTGAATAGCTTCAAGCTGCATGTAATCTTATCCCCGCCTCCCCCTACCCGAAATCATGGCTACGCCACTGTACCTATGTATGTAATTCATCATAGTCGAAAAATTTTCAAGTTAAGCAAAATAAATAGACATACACAAAAATTACCAAGCTTCCGAAGGTGTTAATGTGTGCTGAAGTGTTGGTGAAAATCGCCATTCAAAATTTGCAAAATTTGCAACTACGTTTGTATTGATGTGTATATAAATATATTTTCCAAGTCAATTATTAAATCATCCTACATACACGCAATGTAAACAATCACACAAACTAATCAATTAATTATCAAGTTTTTAGGCAAACATATGCTGACGAGGGCAAACGATGGGTCAATAAATACAGAAATTAAACGCATGCACAATAAAAAAAAAAAACCATGAATGACTATAAAGGAAGCAACGCGAAAGACGTCACAACGTCGCTTAAAAAGAGGAACAAAAAAGAAATACAAAATGTCGAACGGAAAGCGAAGTAATAAAAAAACTACATAGAAATATACAGTGGCTCAAAACAGGGGCCACGAGTTGATTTTTTTTTTGTTTTTTTAATAATCAATGTTTTTCGAGCTAAACGTTTTTAGTTATTTTTCTATAAAAAATGCCGTCCAAGCTTTAACCAAAGATTCAAACTTTTCAACAAATTTTGATCAAAAATTTCAACTATTTAATCTGAATATTTAGAACATTTTTGGGTAGGTATGCAGTTTAATAGCCCATACAAATTTAGTCTTGTCAAGTGCAAGTTTCAACCGGCTAAAAAATCGCGTTGATTTTTTAAACTGCTTTTAGGTTTTTTTTATATAAATATACAACAAAGCCGGCGTTAATTTTTTGAAATTTCGTTGCGAGCGTTCTCGCAAAAAAAATTATACCCCAAAATTGTATGGATTATAAAACTGCATACCCAAAAGTGTTCTACACACTCAGATTTGAAATCGGAAATTTCGAGGAAAATTTGATGATTTTTTTGTCTTCTTAGTTTTTTTATAAAGTTTGAAATTGTGATTTATATGGTTTTGGTTAAAGCTTGGACAATATTTTTATAGAAAATAACAACAAAAATTTAACTCGAAAAACATTATGAATATTTCAAAAAATTAACACGTGGTCACCTGTTTGAGTCACTGTATGGATGTACGTACATGTTTATATGTGTATATGTAAGCATGCGGAAAAAGAAGTTCATAAAAGAATCTCAAAATAATTAAATCTCTGCTTAAGATTTGAATGTACGAGTGCAAAAGATTTCAAACTGAAGCGACTGAAATGCCTATGTGAAAATTAATAAAAGACGAGGCATACGCTTAGCTGCAGGAGAGATCTACAAAAAAAAAAAATAAGAATAAATCAGGGTTTCTAAATGAATAATAATGTGTATGCCAAAATGCACTAAAACAGTAACTTAGTTATATGTACATATGTTTGCATGTGCGTACATAAATGTGGAGTAACTAAAAATGTATACGAAAAAAAAAAAACAAAAAAAAAGTTGGTAAATAAAAATTAATTTAGAAAATTAAACTTTATTTAAAAAATAAAAATAAATTAAAAATTTTAAAATATAATTAAAAATAAAAAAAATATTAAAAATTAAAAACCAAGTAGAAAATTGAAAAAAAAATAAAATAAAGTAAAGTAAAATAAATATAGATAAATATAAATATAAAAAGTGGAAATAAATATAATGAAATAAACCCACACTAAATTTCAGTTTTATAAGTCAAAGACAGAGAGAAGTACGCGATGAATGAGGCCAACCAGAAATATCGATGTACCGGATAACTAACTTTTTTCCCAATTTCTTAACAGCTATGTATGAATTTACATCCATCCAATACGTATGAACAAGCTAACTAACTATATAACAATATATATAATCTTTTTACTTTTTTAATTATTTACTTTATTTTATTAAATTACATGTTTGTTTACATATTATTAGCTGGTGATTCCATATACGAACTCCGTCAGACATACATAAATTGGAAATGATAATATAAAATTTCGATCTTCCTTTTATTTGTTCTGAATTCGAAAAAAGTATTTGTGAAGTGCAAAAAGAAAATATATTCAAAGTAAAATTTGTATGAGAATATTAAAACTACTCCTACATTACTTGTGGACTAGGTTCAAGTTAGCTTTTTGTAGCTAACTGCAAGTTATATATTTTATAAAAGTCCCGCAAAAAAAGCCAACTACAAGTTGATTATTTTTTATCAATTAATAATTTTTTTTTCTGCAGGGTATGTATGTACAGATTAACATACAAATGTAGATGTGTGTGTGTGCCCACGAAAAATATGTCGCGACACCTTTTAATCACACTTGCGAAGAAGTAAACTGACTACAACCGACTAATTGTTGGCCAAGACAGTCCACAATAAATCAAAACAGTTGACAAATGCCATCACAATGGCGATAAACCGTTGACGCCACAACGGAGTTTTAACATTCAATCAGGTTATTGGCGATCACCTTCTCGCTATAAACATTTTCATAGCTACATACATTACATACAAACAAAACTACAACAACAATATGATGTACAAACATAAGAGAAGCTGGCCAAAAGTCAAAAGCACACAGTCTTAAGACGTGGTTTTTATACACACACACACACACACACACACACACACACACACACACACACAATCACTGCGTAAGTGTGGAGCATAAGTAGATGGATATAAATGTTGGAGCAAAACAAAGCGTTAAAAGCCAGCAGCAAAGTCAAAAGAAAATGTCCAGAGAATTTCAAAAGTAAAAAAAAGCTGTTGAACTTGTTATGTTTTTCTTGTTTTTATTTTTGCGCGACTATTTAAACATTGAATTAACTTTTTAAGAAAAAAAAGAAGGAAAATTTGTATACAACCAGCAAATGAGTTAAGTAAATTTCGCACATACATACAAATGTATAACATATTTGCGGTAGTACCCTGCAGAAAAAAATTATCAATTGATAAAAATTAAGCCGTTTTTTGCGGGATTTCTATGAAATATATAACTTGATAATAGTGACATTTGGCTCCTTCCTAATCAACTTAAAGTTAGCTTATAGTTAGATACATTTCCTGCAGGGTACATATACAGTGACTCAAACAAATGACCACGTGTTGCTTTTCTTCGAATATTCGTAATGTTTTCCGAGATACATTTTTTTTGTTATTCTTATATAAAAATATCGTCTAAGCTTTAACCAAAACTGCGTAAATTACAGTTTCAAACTTTATACAAATTTTAGGAAAATTAAACAAATTTTAGTAAAATTAAACAAATTTTAGGAAAATTAAACAAACTTTCATCAAAATTTCAACTTTTTATTCTGAATTTTTAGAAGATTTTTTGGTATGCAGTTTTATAGCCCATATGAAGTGCAAGTTTCAAATGTCTAAAAAATCGCGTTGATTTTTGAGAATTTTTTTTTTGGAGGCTACTTTTTTCGGGATTTTTAATATAATAAGCGCAATTTACAAAAACTTGCGTTGATATTTTGAAATTTTGTTGCTGACGGCTCCCGCGTTTTATGTCATAAGAAATTCATACTTATGTACATGAAAAAAGTGCAAAAATCCGCCACCAAAAAAAAAAAAAATTCTCAAAAATCAACGCGATTTTTTAGCCGTTTGAAACTTGCACTTCGCTAGACTAAAATCGTATGGGCTATAAAACTGCATACTTAATAATTTTTGATGAAAATTTGTTGAATTTTGTATAAAGTTTAAAGCTGTGATTTACACGGTTTTGGTCACAAGTTTAGACGATATTTTCATATAAAAATAACAAAAAAAAAAAGTATCTCGAAAAACATTACGAATATTTGAAGAAAATCAACACGTTGTCATTTATTTGAGTCACTGTATGTATCTAATTATTTAAGTTGGCTGACTAACTGACTGATTTGTTCGTTAGCTGCTAGCTGGTTGACTTTGCGGCTCGATTGTTGGCCGTTTGGCAGTTATTTGGCTGATTGGATAGCGGTGAATGCAAACTCGAGTTGCCTGTATGCGTGTGTTTCTTTATTTTGTTTGCTTTTTGTATTGGCAGTAAATTGCGCAGTTCGCAAAAAAACGTTGTTATTTCGCATAAAACCGGTAAATCGAAAGAGAAGAAAAAATTTACGATATATACATACATATGTATGTATGTGTGCGAGCGCATAAAACGAAAGCCAAATTGGTTGCAAAGTGAAAAAGGCAGAAAAAAATTGCAAGTAAAACAAAAAAAAACAAAAGTAAATGCGATTTAAAGTAAATAATTACAATTGAATTTCAAGCACAAAGTACTTTAGCTACCATTAATGCTTGCACAGAAAAAAATTTACAATTTTATTAATTATAGTAATTTGGAAGAAACCGAGGCTACTGTTAAAGAGGTGGATGTAGTACATGTGTATGTACATATGTATGCATACACTAAGCTTTTTCAAATTAAACAAGCGGTGCAAAAAATCAAGGTCTTGTTACGAAGCTTTTGAGTTCTTAACGCAGCTCTTCGAAAATAACAGTTTTCTTTTCGAAAACTCAATTTAAGAAGATAAAACAAAACCGGCTTCAATTCTCATATAAAAATTTATGGGTACCGTTAATTTCTTCATGAAGAGAGTTAACGAAATTGGTTAACGTGGGCCAAAATTATGCGGTAACATACAATAAAAAATAAAAATAAAAATATTCCGACGAATTGATAACCTCCTCCGGACTTAATCCGGATCAACTGCAGTTAATTCCCGAGTTGAGCCAGGTCAACGCTGCCGTCTGTTTATGCTTTTAGCTAAGGAGTATTAATCGTAAATGATTTAAGTTTTTGGATTTTTTTTTTTCAAAAGTCAAT